GGCAAACAGTCTAAATTATTATGCAAGTTGACTCGAGATACAAAACATGCAAAACTGCAAAGTCTTCAAAGAAAACAAAAATAACGACTTTATTCAACAATTCATCTCCTCATACGCCGTTTACGTTTAGTAACGTAAACGGTTGAACCCCTGATGTCACATGGATTATTTTACCGATCTCCTTGCTACGTTTCTGGACCTTGATCGTAGTAATTACATTGCTGTCTATGGGAGGGTTAGAGAGCTGTCAGAATTAATCAAAAATATCTTAATTTGTGTTCCGAAGATGAACGGAGGTCTTATGGGTTTAGAACGACATGAGGGTGAGTAATTAATCACAGAATTTTCATTTTTGGGTGAACTAATCCTTTAAACTTTACTGACTGTGAATGGAGCCGCTCTGCGCTTTGCGTGGAATCCCGCTGCAACCATCCTTTGCCAAATGATAAGCATATAAGTTGGTTTTGTTTCCAAAGCTTCGGTACATAACGGCACTTTGCAATCTGCCTTATGCAAATGCTCTAAAGAACTCTGAAGGTGAATACCTTTTAGACCGCCTTTTAATCTTTGTCTTGCATAAACTACAGTTGATTCATGTGAAATATCCACTCCTGTACATCCTTTGCAAAATCATCAGATGATCTCTTGTTGGTGGACAGACTGTAAAGCCGCGAGATGCGTGATATCACAACAGATGGCGGTAATGAACAAATTTAGTTTGTCAGAAGACGACGCTGCGCTGCTTCAATGCATTACTGGCTTGTGACTCATCAGAACGCAAAACGGAATGTAGCTTTTGGTTGTGCTACACCATTACTTGTTGAAAAAAGTAGTTAGCTACTGGAAAAGCTACACTGTAAAAATACAGTGTAGTAAAAAATGTAGTTACGCTAGTTGTAGCTAGCTACTCCCCAACACTGACATGATCACACGTACTTCATCTCCAGAGTAGGGCTGTCAAATTTTTTTTTGAATTTCGACGATGTAAGTGTCATTGCATTGTAATGCTTTTGTTTAGTGGTCAACCGATATAGTTTTTTTGACAGCCGATGCCGATATCTTGGCAAGCAGGGTGGCCGATGGCCGATATAAAGGCGATATCATTTTATTTATTTTAATTGATGTTTAAGAAATTTGAAATAATTTGAAAATGGATTAAACAATATGATGAAATCTGAGAGCTCTCTGACCCTCCCATAGACAGCAATGTAATTACCACGATCAAGGTCCAGAAACGTAGCAAGGAGATCGGTAAAATAATCCATGTGACATCAGGGGTTCAACAGTAATTTTACGAAGCTATGAGAATACTTTTTGTACTCAAAGAAAACAAAAATAACGACTTTATTCAACAATTCATCTCCTCATACGCCGTTTACGTTTAGTAACGTAAACGGTTGAACCCCTGATGTCACATGGATTATTTTACCGATCTCCTTGCTACGTTTCTGGACCTTGATCGTAGTAATTACATTGCTGTCTATGGGAGGGTTAGAGAGCTGTCAGAATTAATCAAAAATATCTTAATTTGTGTTCCGAAGATGAACGGAGGTCTTATGGGTTTAGAACGACATGAGGGTGAGTAATTAATCACAGAATTTTCATTTTTGGGTGAACTAATCCTTTAAACTTTACTGACTGTGAATGGAGCCGCTCTGCGCTTTGCGTGGAATCCCGCTGCAACCATCCTTTGCCAAATGATAAGCATATAAGTTGGTTTTGTTTCCAAAGCTTCGGTACATAACGGCACTTTGCAATCTGCCTTATGCAAATGCTCTAAAGAACTCTGAAGGTGAATACCTTTTAGACCGCCTTTTAATCTTTGTCTTGCAGAAACTACAGTTGATTCATGTGAAATATCCACTCCTGTACATCCTTTGCAAAATCATCAGATGATCTCTTGTTGGTGGACAGACTGTAAAGCCGCGAGATGCGTGATATCACAACAGATGGCGGTAATGAACAAATTTAGTTTGTCAGAAGACGACGCTGCGCTGCTTCAATGCGATATGCTTGTGACTAATCAGAACGCAAAACGGAATGTAGCTTTTGGTTGTGCTACACCATTACTTGTTGAAAAAAGTAGTTAGCTACTGGAAAAGCTACACTGTTTTAAAAGTAGGCCTAGCTGAGCTACTGTCACGCTACTGAAAAATGTAGTTACGCTAGTTGTAGCTAGCTACTCCCCAACACTGACATGATCACACGTACTTCATCTCCAGAGTAGGGCTGTCAATTTTTTTTTTGAATTTCGACGATGTAAGTGTCATTGCATTGTAATGCTTTTGTTTAGTGGTCAACCGATATAGTTTTTTTTCTCGCACAAGACAGCGCCAACTTTTAAAAAGCATGTCTCAAGACTTTATGGCGGTTTTTCCCCATCCCACTGTATCTTGTGTTTTTAAATGAAGAAAGTAGCCTA